CACGGACTCAAATACGCCTACAGAAACACGTGGGCACCTGCTCACACAGGACACGTGGATGCTCAGACACAGCATGCACACACAGGCACACAGATACGTACTCACACATTGCACACTCAGACACAGGTGCAGGCACACACTTACACGTAGACACAGGCAGATATGCACAGACGGACACTCGCACCTGGCAAAGACACTGTAAGAGCCAGAAGCGAAAGCCGAGTTAGGAAGCCGTCTTCCGGGGCTCCCTGAGCTGCGTGCAGGGACCTCCCAGGGGAGTGTGTCCTGTGGACGCGGTCATCTAAGCGCTCAGAGTTGTATGGCTAAAACACCTTGTGGACTCACACAGCTCTGCCAGCAGTGGCTCATCTTGCAGCTTTGCCAGGCCGTGGTCACACTGGCGCTCCGCAGGGCTGCTCCTGTCCCCCGTCTCACACTTGCCACGTTGGGTTCCCATGGCCCAGGCCAGGTGGGCACTGACAGCCGTGGTGTCATGGAAGAGTTAGAACGTGGGAGCCCCGAAGTAGGCGCTCTCCATCTGGTTAATGAGAGAGGCAGCATTTAGGCACGTTTCTAGAACAAGTGACATCATGAGGTGTGGGCTTGCATCGTTGAGCAGTGGAGCCAGGGCTAATCTCCAGCAAGAATTCATTCTAGTTCCGCAGCGGGGTCCTCCTGCCTCCACAGAACTTTTGAGGAACAAGTTGAATTAAGTACGCAGTAGGAGTCCCAGTGCTCTGCCTGCCCGGCTTGTGTGTGCTGTCTACGGATGGTGAGAAAGGGGCTGGAGACTCAGCCGGTAGACGGGGGCGGCCTTCTGCCCCAAGACAGGCTGTGTCCCCACCTGTCTGTTGCCAACATGTCACAGCATCTCAGCCGGATGAAGGCGGCTGGGCCAGGTACCAGGTGGAGAGCAAAGCCGTTTTGCCCATGGCGTATCTTGTCCTTTACCAGCAGGGAGTAGACAGAGAAGCTGGGGTCTGGACTCAGGTGTATGTTAAGCGGAAATTCAGGTTCAGAAGAGTCTCTCGGGGTCTTTGTGTTGGTCTGATACTGCTCTAAACAAGGTGTGTGCTGCAGCACTTTTAGTGGTGTGGACATCCAGCCCCTCCGCCTTTAGTGAGCAGTTATTGAGACTCTCGGCACCAGGCTTGGTGCGTGGCAGGTGTGGGATCAGCCGGTGGAAGATAGAAGCCCACCCTTCCTAAGGGCGGGGCGGGGCGGTGGCACGAGACGGAGCAGCACGAGTTATCCTCTGTGGACACACTGAGTGTCAGAGAGGTCACCAAAACGTGAGAGTGGAATTTACAACCAGGGCTCCCGAGAGGTGAGGGGAGGAAGTGACGTGTCAGGTGGGGAGAGGAGGACGAGCCTGAGGCAGCAGCATGTCTGGGGTCTGAGCTTGCTGGAGGTGTCGGTGAGGCACAGGGCGAGGGGAGACTTGAAGCTAGAAGAGGGGAGAGCTGACAAAGGGGCGTGACCACATGCCTTGTTGGGGAGCAGCAGGTGTGGCCCTGGATAACCTGGAGGTGCCTGCCAGAGTTGAGCGTGGGAGGGGGGTGTGGGCAACAGGCCGCGTGGGTCTGCAGTTCGAAGAGGAACTCGTGGTCATTGCTTTAAGTGTGGGTGTTGTCAAGTGTAGAGCTGGCAAGGCGTGAAAGAGACTATCAGGCATCCCAGGGTGGTCACGCTGCACCAGCCGATGGCTGGGCAGCACAACTACTCGGGCATTAGCACAGCAGAGACCGCAGTGCTGGTACAGGAAGCACCTGGGGCAGACTGGGAGTGCTGGTGGGGGTGTGCCGCACAGACCTCTGGGAGTGCTGGTGGGGGTGTGCCGCACAGACCTCTGGGAGTGCTGGTGGAGGGGTGCCGCACAGACCTCTGGGAGTGCTGGTGGAGGGGTGCCGCACAGACCTCTGGGAGTGCTGGTGGAGGGGTGCCGCACAGACCTCTGGCTCAGACTAGGAAACAGCTTTGGGACAGACACCAGCATCAGCTGTGGAACGGTCTGCCCCGCTGGGGTGGGCAGTTGGCACAGAGGCTGGTGTGTGGAAGTCAGGGCATCAGCTGTGGAGAAATAGAACTGCTCGCTCAGTGGCCCCAGTGGACCTCCGGTGCTGCCTCAGGGACTGTGCAGTGTGCAGCTGCGGCCAGCTCCCCAGTGGGGGTGTTGTCTGGTGCAGGGGTGCGAGACGCCAGCAGGAGCACCCTCCTGCTAGGTCCCCGAGGTCCCACAGTCTTTCTGCGAGCAGCAGTGCCTCCGCCACACTCCTCCTCTCTGCCCACGTCCAGGCCGTGGTTAGCCACGCGCAGGGAATGTAGTTCCCATGTCCTCGCCTGTTATTACGACCATGAAGAAGAGGAGGTGGCTGACGGCGAGTGGGTGGAAGACACTGGGAAGGAACTGCTTGGTGTGCGGGACGCCAGAGTTAAACGTTTTCCGAGCATCGCCTTTGGCAGTGTCCCCAGAAGGCACACCAGACTGGCCACGTGGCCGCTCACCTCTGTACGAAGTCTGGATTGTGTCCCGGCTGTGCGTGCCCCGCCCTGCTGCGGCTTTGCACGCGTGGGGGCAGTGAGGCCGTCGGCAGCAGACGACTGTCACCGGGTCAGTGGTTTGCAGCACGCTGTGACGTCAGTGGAGTCGCTGTGACGTCAGTGGAGTCGCTGTGACGTCAGTGGAGTCGCAGTGACCACATGGCAGCTTTGACTTGATTTTCTGGTGCTTCACATTCACTTAAAATAGTGGCCGTGGGGGTCTGTTTCCAGGACTTGCCAGGCTTAGTCCGAGCTGCAGACAGGCGCAGGCCGAGCGGGAGCCAGGAATGTTGGCTGCGCCATCGTGTGTGTGCTGAGGCGAGTGGCCAACAGCCAGAAGACCGGGAAGTGGCTGCTGATCCTGAAGTTGGTTCTAAGCCCCTTACAATGTTGAAGAACCACTTGGTGCCTTTAAGGAGACTTCTGCCCTGGTGTTGTGTGGCTGCTGAACCGAGAACAGCTATTGGCACAGCTGTCATGGGAGCAGTCAGTGACCAGGTGGCATCTCCCTTGTCCTGGTGGACAGCAGAGCCCACGAGACCGGCTTTGCTGGCGTGTGGAGTCCACGCTGCCCCGAGACACCCGTGGCTCACGGAGGGGGCAGGCGTCCTCGGCGTTGGCTGACGGGACGCACGTCAAGGTCACATCAGCAGTTCAAAGATCTGGAAGTGACTGAGAATGGGACCAGATTGTATCCTAAGTACACAAACTGCTTCACCCCAATTTTATATTACAATTTTGAAACATAAGACCTTTTTTAAAAAAAATACTTTTAAGTTCAGTGATATAGAAAGCATAGCTTTGCCTTCTGCCGCTGTGCGGGCTGCCCGCCGTGGGCAACCTTCACACAGTAGTGGCTGCGGGAAGCCAGCCACCTCTGGCACCTGCGTGCTGTGGAGGAGGCCACATGCCGAGGGCAGTGCAGCCCTGGGCGGGGAGAGCTGGCCGCACGGTCCGCCTCCCCCATGCCAGGCTGAGCTCCTGCTGTGCAGGGCGAGTCCCGCAGGGCCAGCCGGGGGCACAGCGGGCAGCAGGTGCACACGGTCACCTCCCTTGTCCGGAGCCTCGGCAGCCAGGCCGTGCCAAGCCCCACAATGGCCGCACCTTAGGGTGCAGGACGACCTTAGAGATTGGCCAGTGTGGGTCGGCCAGATGGCAGAGGCAGACACCCAGGGGTGCTCCCTGTGTGTCCGTGTCTGTAGGACACGTGGGGCTGAGTGACAGCTGCCGTGCAGGCATGTTCAACAGGCGTACTACATGCCGATGCTGAACACGCATGCGCGCACTGAGCACACACGTGCGTTCAGCTCCTGGAGAGATGCCTGGGCTGTGTGCTAGGGTGTGTGCTCACCCACCCTCCCTCTCTCTCCCCTCTCCCCTACCCTCTCCCCTCTCCCCGTGCAGTGGAGACCTAAGTGCCTTTTGTGCTGAAATCCACAGAGTCCTAAGTGGAAGTCACCTGTGGGCCTCGGGGTGCCATCTGGGAGGGGCCCAGGGCCCAGGAAGTGACAGCTGGCTCCACAGAGGGACAGGGCCCAGGACGTGACAGCTGGCTCCACAGAGGAACAGGGCCCAGGAAGTGACAGCTGGCTCCACAGAGGGTCAGGGCCCAGGAAGTGACAGCTGACTCCACAGAGGGTCGGCACGCCTTAGACTTCATTCTGTTCAGCAAATGTGAAGGAAGAGATTGTCCGGGGATAACCCACCTGCAGACAGCGGAGGCTTCCGGCTCCAGAGTGCCACCGTCTCAGGCTGCCGGCCTCCCTGCTGGCTCTCCTGCTCCTGCTTAGAGAGCAGATCCGGAAAGGAAGGCGGAGACGTTGGGAAAAATCCAGCAAGCAGCCCCTTCCTTCCCTGGGACCCGGGGACCCCTCTGCAGCCTGGCTTGAAACAGGTGGCCATGGGCCTGCCCGCTTCCCCGGGCACAGGGGCTTGCCCGCTTGCCTTCCTTCAGCCCCCACCCCAAGTCCCAGTGGCATCCCGTTTTCCCAGCTCTGGAGCGCTGCAGGCAGGAGAGGCCTAGCTGCCCCTGGCTGCCGAGGAGGGGCTGATGGGGCAGCCTCAGGGTGCACCCACAAGTCTCCCCTTCTTAGTTCATGATGGAGAAAGTGAGGACAGCTGCTCTAGGGGACCTATCCAGAGGTCACTGCCGGGCCATGTGGTCCCTGCCCAGGCTCTGCCAGGCTCCCAGCCCCTGCCCCTGCCGCCCGCCCTCGCTGCCCCTGTTGTACTCCGCTGCACTTCCCTCCCTCCTGTGCCCTGTGCCCCCTCCCCCTCCCTCCCCACTCCCTACCTCCTTCCCTGGGGAGGAGGTGGAGCCCTTGCTGTGTGGTGTCAATGGACTGTTCTGAAGTTGGGTCTGAGTTTGCCACTTCCTGTCTTTTCACGTGTTGCTCCTTTTGGCAAGTGGATGCTGAGCTCCAGCCCCAATTTCACACAGTCCTTCACTGTCTCTGCAGCCCCGGAGATCCTCAGAGGCTGTGCCTATGGGCCCGAGGTGGACATGTGGTCGGTCGGGGTCATCACCTACATCCTGTGAGTACCCAAGGCCCCCTGGGAACGACCCTGCTCTTCACCCTCATGTCATTCCTGTTTACACAGGCTGTCGCTGGTGGATGAATTCTCTGTCTATCATTTTGGGGGACCAGGTCCCGTCTCCTGTGAGGAGTGTGGGGCTTTGCGGAGTGATGTGACTTCTAACAAGGCTGATGGCGTGAAGCCGAGTCCCGCGTTGATCTGTTTCTGATCTAGCGGCACCCTGCTCCTCTCCAGGCCTCGCGTCAGAAAGCGGGACTTGGGGGGTTTGCTGGCAAGACGATAGAGTTGCCGGAGCTGCCAAGGGGCTTGTGTACCCCATAGGTCAGCAGGTGGCTGGAAGACAGCTGGCAGCCAGGCCACCAGAGTTAAATCCCAAACACGAGATTCGGTCGCTTTTGGAACTTGTGCTATGGCTGTTTGTTAAGGGCGGCTGGACAGTTCCAGGGCTCTGTCAGTCTGCCCAGGCTGCAGTGGGCACACAGCTCACACTGGCCACTTCATGGTCTGCAGGCTGCTCCAGCAGAGGAATGGTGTGGTCAGGCGGTCACAAGGGCCACTCCCTTGCCTGCTCCGCTGCCTCAGAGTGTCCACACTAGCAGGGAGTGCGAGTTAGCGGCCACTGTGGTCCCTTCCTCTTGGACACTAATCCCTTGCACCTGGACCTCAGCTAAGTCTGATTCCCTTGCCGAGGCCCGTCAGTGCCCACCGTGAGCTCTGTGCTGCAACAGAGAGGTCATGGTCAGTTAGGGCCGCAGCACGTGAGCCACCTTAACATGAGGGACAAGTCCTACCAGGGTCAGTATGGCTCCAGCACATGTGCTGTACCCAGAGGGGCACGGCTCAGGATCCTGCACACAGCCTGTGTCCCACAGGGCACACGGCTCAGGTGGGGTTGTCAGAAGCCCTCAACCCAGGCGACGTGTGTGGTGTTCAGCCTGCTGTGTGCGGAATGTTGTGCAGCGTGGCAGCAGCTGGGAGAAGCAGAGAACTGTGCCTCCCGCGCAGCAGCCAGCCCGTGCTCTGTCGCCGCGCTTGGCTCTGAGTGCAGTAGGGAAGCGGGGCCTCGTCCAGCACCCTGCTCCTGTGTCAGGTCAGGTCTGCGCCAGGGCACAGGGACTCCCCGCCCTCCAGGTGAGAGCAGGAACCGGAGAAGCAGTGAAGGAAAGCCGGGGACAGAGTAGACTGAGTGAGGAACACGCTGTCCCGACAGTGAGGGTCACTCGGGCCAGTGTGATTCCACGTGAGCGCCTGTCATGTTGTCATATACCGAGGCTGCCCCACACGTGTCCACTGCACGCTGGACAGCCCCGCACTGGCTGCACGGACTGCCCCGCCTGTGGGCCGGTGAATGCAGCAGCTCTTACTCCAGCAGCTCGCGCACTGGGCCTGTGGTGCAGGCTCAGCTGTGCAGTGTGCTCACGGCTCCCTGGTGACCCAAGCCTGTGACCTCCCCGCGCCGGCCCCATCCTGTCAGACAAGGTCCAAGTCAGAGCAGGGCACAGGGGAGCCATGGCACTGGAGCCAGAGCAGGGCACAGGGGGAGCCATGGCACTGGAGCCAGAGCAGGGCACAGGGGAGCCATGGCACTGGAGCCAGAGCAGGGCACAGGGGAGCCATGGCACTGGAGCCAGAGCAGGGCACAGGGGAGCCATGGCACTGGAGCCAGAGCAGGGCACAGGGGAGCCATGGCACTGGAGCCAGAGCAGGGCACAGGGGGAGCCATGGCACTGGAGCCAGAGCAGGGCACAGGGGAGCCATGGCACTGGAGCCAGAGCAGGGCACAGGGGAGCCATGGCACTGGAGCCAGAGCAGGGCACAGGGGGAGCCATGGCACTGGAGTGCTGTCTCCTGGGAACGTGAACAGCACCGTCAAGCCACCTCCTGAACTCATCTCCCCGAGCGCCTGTCCACCTTCACGTGTGTGTGTGCACCGCATTGTGGGCTGGGCCTGTGTGGGCACCGGTCAGGAGCAGTGGGCAGCGCAACCAGCAGCTCGGTCCTTCTCTGAGCCTGCAGTTCTGCACACAGGCGTAAGGCTGTGCTGTGTGACCCACTCCCGCCAGAGCTGGCCAGCCCTGGCCCCCACCTCAGTCCTCACTGTTGGGCCTAAACCCCTGTGTGTGTGCCTGTGTGTGCCTGTGTGTGTTTCTGTGGATATGTATGTATGCATGTGTACATGTGGGAGCCTGTACTGCCGGGTACCCACAGGTCTGTGTGCATGTATGATTCTGAGTGTGCACATGTATGTCTAGCAATGTCCTGGCCATTTTCCTACTGACCTCGAACTGGAAGTGAAGGAGACTGCAGATAGAAGTCATCGTGGTGACACACAGGGAGTCCCTACCCCCAGGACTTGGCGTTGTCCGGCAGCCGGCCCAGGTCTGGCTCCGCTCACCCAGAGTCCAGTCAGCGGGCAGGAGCCTCCGCCCGCGCGTCTCTGCCAGAACTCAGAGGAGCCAGCCGGACAACAGCAACATCTTTCCACCCCTTTCTCAGTCCTCACTCCACCCTGCTGCCGAGTCGGGGCTCTGTGGGGACTCTGCCTGTGCCCCCCGGCCCCCGTGTCATTACTCCTGGCAGTGAGACCCTGTATGGCCTGGGGCTGGAGTCTGGAAGCTGGCGGGGCGTGGACAGGCCGTCGGTGCCCCGTGCTGCCCGAGTTGTGTCCCCGCAGGCTCTGTGGATTTGAGCCGTTCTATGATGAGAGGGGCGACCAGTTCATGTTCCGGAGGGTCCTCAACTGCGAGTACTACTTCATCTCGCCGTGGTGGGACGAGGTCTCCCTGAACGCCAAGGACTTGGTGAGTGTGGCCTTTGCTGGGCGCCGTGCCCCGCAGACGGAGGCGCTGCACTGTGACCTGCCGTCCGGCTGTGTGAGCGAGTGGTCAGCACAGGGCCCAGGTTAAGTGTGGCTGGCGGTGCCCCGAGCGTGGACACTCGTGGCTGTGGGATGCTGGCACGGTGGCTGCTCGTTGGTGCTGCAGCCCCGCCCTGCTGTCCCGGTGCTGTCCCCTGGTCACCAAAGGCCCCTGGCTTCTCCCCGTGCCCAGGCCCTAAGCACTGCTCTGTGACTAGCCCCCCGGGAGTCACCAAAGCTGACTCCTGGTGCCGGCAGTCAGCTCCAAGGGACCCCAGGGTCACAGATGTGAGAGCCCAGAGAGGTGGTCTTACTGCCAGGACCACAGCCCCCCAGCAGACGTCAGGATGGGCCTCCTGCTCCTTCTGCGTGTCCCTCCCCGTGTGGCTCCCGCATCAGCCGCCCCATCCTTCCACTTTGTCACATTATTCTCCTTCCTCTGTACACCTCACCCTGGCGTATGTGCACCCACACCCACATACACACCCATGTATACATGCACACACAGCAGTATACACATGTACACAACACACACCCATATACACACATGCCATGTACACACACATACCCACATATACACACCCAGGTGTACATGCACACACAGCAGTATACACATGTACACAACACACACCCATATACACACATGCCATGTACACACACATACCTACATATACACACCCAGGTGTACATGCACACACAGCAGTATACACATGTACACAACACACACCCATATATACACATGCCATGTACACACACATATCCACATATACACACCCAGGTATACATGCACAAGCCCCTCCATTTTTCTCAAGCCCTGTTGCCACTGGGGCCCCTGGGAGGCCCCGCACTCTCCCCCTTCCCCTCCCCTTCCCCTCCCCCTCTTCCTCTCATCTTTCTCCTCCCCTCCCTTCGTCTCCCTCCTCCCTCCTCCGTGGCCCTCCTGCCTGCCTTGGTTCTCTTCCTGCACTGACCTTCCCCGAGCCCCTCATTTTGGCGTTGCCCGTGGTCTCCCCTCACTACCTGCGTGCCCTGGGCCAGGATGGCACACGTGTGGCATGCAGGCCAGCTTGGGTGCACACGTGTAGAGACAAACTGGCTCCCCAGGACTCCCTGCCCTGCCAGAGCCGTGCCCTCCTGCGTGCGCAGCAGTCCCGCCCCAGGATGGAACTCCAGGCCTCGCCTGCCCCCCCACCCGCCCCCTTGGCAAGCTGCTCCTGTTCCTTCCCAGGACCCTTGGTTCGATAACGGTGGAGAGAGGCGGCAGTGGCCTGGGACAGGGAGGCACACGCCCACGTGCAGACGGGGAAGGAGCAGAGGCCAGCCCCCCGGTCAGGCAGGACCGGAGCCTGAGCAGCCCCCAGCTGTCCCCACACCCACAGCGAGGGGGCCTCCCAGCTCACGGCCCGAGGGGAGCCTGCGCTGGCTGCTGCCTGCTCTCTGTACATGTGGGGAGACTCATGCAGAGGGCTGGCACTGGGCGGGTCAGGCCGCTGGTCTGACACTTGCCGCCCACCCCACTGCTGGGCTGGTGCCGAGGGTCCCGGACTCCTGGACTCCCTGGCGTGTCTCGGAGTGCCAGCAAGCTGGCTTTCGGTTAGCACTTCTGGCAGCTGACTGCACGCTCAGTCTCACACGTGGGGACACCTTGGCAGCACCTCAGTCACAGGTCAGCCTGCGACCCTGGCTCCTGCCCTGCCCGGGCGCGATGAGGCGGGTGGGGCTCTGTGACACAGAGGGCTCCCGAGTTCCGAATTCCAGGTGACTGTGAGGTGCACAGGCGTGCCCTGCCCGCAGAGTGCCCGCAGCCCCGGCCAGCCAGCACCCGTGTCCCCGAGCTGCACTGCACAGCGTCGCCACACACATCTCAGGTGGCCCCAACACTTGTCTCGTGCTCCTGGGGCCACCCTAGAAGGTGGCTGTGCCCACGGGATCCCTGCGGGCATACGTGGAGAGTGGTGGCATGGGCCTGGCATGGTCAGCGTGCTGAGCCTGCTCTGTCTGCCCGCCCAGGTCAGGAAGCTGATCGTCTTGGATCCGAGGAAGCGGCTGAGCACCTTCCAGGCTCTGCAGCACCCGTGGGTCACCGGGAAGGCGGCCAACTTCGTGCACATGGACACCGCACAGAAGAAGCTGCAGGAATTCAATGCCCGGCGCAAGCTGAAGGTGGGCCGGCCAGGGCTTGCTCTGCTCTAAGAAAGCATAACCCAGAAGTTGAGATTCCCCGACATGGAGGACAGGTCCAGCCCCTCAGGCATACATGCTACCTGTGGGTTTCGCTGTCCCGGGCACTGTGGACATGCTGCAGGAAACCCCACCATAGTCCCTGCTGGTGGTCACTGTGAGGACAGCCCCCAATACGGGCGGTGACCAGGGTCCACACAGACCCTGCTGGCGGTCACTCTGGGGACAGCCCCCGACATGAGCAGTGACCAGGGTCCACATAGACCCTGCTGGCAGTCACTGTGTGGAGCAGTGTTACCTGCTGACTCGACTGATGAAGGGGCACAGTGCCATTCTGGACACTGGCAGCTACCCAGAAATGTTTCTTGTGAATATGTGGACATGTTGAGTGTCTGCTTAGTAACGTGGCTAACCAGCTACGTGTTGGAAACTGTGACTTCCAGTACGGAGTACCACATGGGTGCCCCAGGATTTGTATGGGGAGAGGGTGCTGAGGGCCAACGTGTAAGCAGGTTGCAGAGAACACGGGATCAGAGGCAAGGTCCTCCTCGGCCGAGCCGACCACCAGGTCAGACGGCGGTGCCTCGAGTGCACTTGGCCACACGTCCCAGAGCACGGGGCCTGCTGCCGCCTGGCCAACAGGTCCCCTGAAGTAGTTTGGGCAACACTGCAGCGGGTTCCAGGGGTCACCTGGATCTGACAGTAAGGGGACGTCTCACCGGGTAGTCTCGGGGTGAGGCCCTGGGGAAGGCGTTGTCCCTGAAGGCAGGCAGGAGGTGAGGCGGCGCTGACACGGCATCTCTCCTCCAGGCAGCCGTGAAGGCAGTTGTGGCCTCGTCCCGGCTGGGCAGTGCCAGCAGCAGCCATGCCACAAGCCAGGAGAGCCACAGGCCAACCCAGGAGCCCTCTCCTGTCCCAGGGGACACGGCCCTGCCGACAGAGGAAGCCGAGCGCATGAAGGTGCAGGCGGAGGAGGAAGAGACGGAGGCGCGCCCGGGGTTGGTGCCCGAGGCCCTGGAGGACGGGATGACCGGGGCTGGAGAGCCCCAGGAGCAGGAGGAGAGCCTGGGCGAGAAGCTGAAGACGGTGGAGGAGGCGGAGCCGGAGAGCCCCGCGGAGGGACTGGGGGCGCCCCAGCAGGGGGTGACCCTGCCCGAGTCCTAGGGTGGCCCTGCCCCGACCCTCCCCGGCCCGTGACGCACCTCGTCCTGCAGCAAGGACGGTGCGCAAGCATGATATAGTGATGTTCTGAGGTGCAAATACATAGCTACCACTCGATACCCCTGCCGTCATGCATGTGACCGCTTTACGGCACCAGCAGTGCTTCCAGGCACGGGCGGGACCTGGCGGTGAGTGACCCCGACCCTTCCCTGGCACGGCCGAACCGAGGCGCACGTCCGCGTGGTGGCACACGGGCTCTGCCCTGGAGCCTTGCATGCTGGGTGCCCCGGATTCCTTCATGAGGTGACTTCCCTGGGCGCCTGCTCGGCATCTCCCAGGCGTGCTGTCGATGTGTTCTTGTGAGCTTGACCTTTCGCTTTTTGTCATGAGCGTGTTCGGTGTTCCCGAGGAGATGGTGGTAGAAGGCAGTCGCACACTGCGATGGTAAGGAGTCCAAGCACACTTGGAGGGGCACGGAGCCGCACAGGCCCGAGCTCGTGTGGCAAAGGCCTGCTCGGGGGTACCAGGCTCTCCCTCACACGGCACGTGAGTCGTGAGTCCTGGGGGCAAGGTGTTTCTGCTGGACCAGATCCGGGCTGCTGAGGCCAGTAGTTCCAAGAAAGGGTGTTTACTCACTAATATGGCCCCACAAACAGGAACATTTAATGGACTGTAACAGACACTGAAGGCAAATCTTCCCAGGGCCACATGTCCACCCGAGAGTGGACTAAGATCCCACTAAAGAGCCACTTTATCAAAGATGGAAATTTGTTCAGGAAGCCCCAGCTTTCTGCCCACTGGCTGTGACTTAAATATACTGCTTATCACAGATGTTTATGGAAATTGGCGCATCTTAGAGTTGGAATGGAAGTGCCCCCATTTTACAACGTAGTTTTAAAAAATTTTCCAGGTCAAGAAATTTACAATAGTACAACTTTTAATTCACTTTTGAAAACAAAAATGGTTTAAAACCCTGCCGATTTCCAGTGAGACGGCAGAGGAGCTGGCACGCTGGCCCCTCTATGGGGCTTCTTCCCCAGATTGGCATTTTTCGTTCTTGGGAACTTTTCCCCTACAGAAATTACACTTACTCTCAAAATTTATTTTTGTTTTCAGCCTAAGTTTAAGTTGAAATGCATTTTTATCAGGATATTGTGAGTTCTTTTTATGAGTATCCTTAATTTTTAAATAAGAATTATTTGCAAAGACCAAAATCAATAAAAATCAGCATTTCTATCCCTGTCGAATACGGTCGTAAATTCTTCTGCTGCTTCCTCAAACTATCCAGTAGGAAGAGGGAATTCTGCCTGCAGCTCCTGGGGCCTCTGGGCTGGCCGGAACGGCCTCTGGCCGGCGTCAGCCCCTTCGCGGGCTGGTGGCCCTGCCATGCACGCGGCCCCCAGCAGAAGGCGCCCACTGCCCTCCTCCCCGTGTATCTGATTTTCCACAGGGCTATTAGGAAACCTGACCTGCATTTAACCTTTGAAAACACCGTTGCAGTCAGGGGCCTGGTGAGGAAGTGGCAGGCAGGGAGACAGACGGGAGCACGCCCTCCAGCCCTGGGCTGGCCACTGGCCAGGGAGCAGCGTGACCAGCCACCCCTGTGTGAGTACTGAGTTAATTGTTTTATAGCCCGTAGTTTGAGAACCTGTGGGGATTTTATGAACTGAGCCCTGATAACCCTGCAGTGACTAAGCTAGTCGTTTCAGAAACAAGCCTTTCAGTCAATGCAGACACTGTACAGGGACAGCCCGAGGGGGGGCACTAACTTTTTTGAAGCCAACATACTGCAAGCCAAATGACATCTGTATGATTTGTCTCACTCGCTGAAGGGCGGCGGGAGTAAGGCGAGGACGAACTATTCCGTTAACATTACGCTGACGCTGACACCGCACAGAACGTCACGCTGTGCGTGTTAGAACTGCTAGCTCCGTCACTCCTGGTTCCATTCTGACATGAGCACACGGGAGGTGCTCTGACAGGGCAGGAACATCAAGTCTTCTCCCCGAGGGCTCGAGGGCCACCAGGGCAGAGCACACACCGCCCTCGGCAGGTGCTACCTCCTGGAGGAACACAGCCTTCCCGGCACCCTTCTCCTAAAGAACCCATGTAGTTATATTTTAATGAAGAATGTCCAAATTACATGAATTTATAGTCAGATATTAAGAATATTTTGGATTATTTTTGTACCAACTTTCCAAAGTCAGGAGTGTCAGGCGCCCCGTAGCCTCACGGGGTTGTGCCACTGATTTATTCAGCACAAGTCGGGAGAACTGCATTTCTGTTTATAGCTGAGCTGCCTCCATTTCTTTCACAAGTGGCGGGCGAACGTGAATATTCCTGAAGTGAGTCAAAAGCCATTGGCCATTCCTGCTATTGCGTGCTCCAAACAAGGGCTTCCTGGCAGGGCTGTAGGGGACAGCCCTTTGCAGAGCCTTGCCAAGCTCTGCTCTAGCCACAGACCCTTACCGGTCCAGCCTGGAGCATGTGGGTTCTGCCATGCTGCCCAAGGTGGCACTGCCTACTGAAAGCTACAATGGCCAGCCATGTTTCCATTCACAGCAGCTGGTAACAGGCCCAGGCTGGGCAGTGTCCCCCTGTGGCCAACAGGAAGTTCTCCAAATCTGGGGCCTGCCATATCTGCAGGAAGGTAAGGAGTGGTGGTGCCATCATGCTGGTAACCCCAAGAGGGACCTTGGCCACTACTGCCATGTCCACGCTTCCTCAGGGGGGTTGGACCAACACTGCCATCACACACACACTCAGATTTACGGGTTTTCTTTTGTGCTGAGCTTGGATTAATCCTCGAGGTTCTAGAATCATGTTAGAAGCAGGCCAGTTTTCCTTTGTGACCTCAAGTAGTGTTGTAAGTTATTTTGCAATTTCGGGTGTTCAGACTGTCTCCAGTTAACCCTCCCGGGCCCTGGAGGTGCGTGAGTGGCTCCCAGGCTGCCGGTCCTGGAGCTGGTCTGCTTGATGACTCGGCTGACTGCACAGGGAGGACGCACAGGTGCTCCCCTGGCCTCTGCCTGCAGTGGGGTAACCACGGGGCGGGTCCCTTCCGGGTCCGTGCTCCCCCACACACAGGAGCCGCAGCCCGGAGCCGGCATAGCAGCCAAGCACTTCCTGCGTGAACGCTGCTTCTGGTCAGACTGCGGACGAGAATGCATGAGTTTTTTAAAATCATTGTGTACATGGAATGCTAATACTTGCATTGTAATACTCAGACCACATGCTAAGCAGGAATGTACCAAGTTTTCTATAAAGTTTTTTAAGTCCTTTTATTCTTCCAAGCCACTCAGCCTTTCCAGCTCACTGACAGTGTGCTGGAGAGCAGTGCCACCCCTGGGGTAGCCGAGTTCACCTCTCTCGCTGTGTGGTGACCCAGTCAGGGCCATTACCCGAGACAAGAGGACACGTCCCCGCTGAGGAAGCCCAGCCATTCCTACACTGAGCGATGTACATCTGGTTGTCTAAACTCCGGTTTTCATAAATGCTCCACTGTATTCAAGATGTGTTGATTCATGGTCTTCATTTCCCCGAAATGCTCCAGTCAGCTCCCCATCACCCAGCCCAGAGGCCCCCGAGGCAAGATGCCTGGCACAGGACTCGGACTGTCCACTTCCTCTGCAGGAGACCCAGGACCCCCAGCGCGCCAGGAGCCTGGTAGGAGGTGGGCCTGACAGCCGGGGCTGGGTGGGTGAGGCCTGGGGGCCGAGGTCATTCCCTGGTCCTGCTCAGTCACCGTCCGCCCTAGATCCGCGTCAGTCCCATCCCATGGCCCTCAGGCCCCCCCTAGCACTGGGTGTCCTTCCACGGCCTGACAGCTCTGTGTGCTCGGGGCGGGTCCTGGCAGCCAGGACCTAACCCTGAGTCTAGGTGAGGCGGCTGCACCTGCAGGATCCTGCCAGCTGCCGAGTGTCCCTGCAGACACAATCTGTACACCCAGATCATACTGGCCATGCTTTGCAGTCAGGTTTAAAGCACTCCGAGAGTCGTGTGTGTGACAGGTATCTGCCATGACCTGAGCAGTAACCTGTCGCTCATCTCGTGCCGCCCTGTTGTGCCTGGAGGCTGGCACACCGTGGCTTGGGGTGTGCTCTAGCAGTGAGGTTCACGTGATGAATATTCATCCGCTCCCTCAGATGGACGCTGGTGCGTGCCCCGCCCAATGCTACGGTCCTGACTTAGGTCTGTAGGCATGAGGCACCCCAGGAGCCGAAGGGGGCAGGCCAGCAGAGATGGACAGGCAGCTTGGGGGCCGTCCGGGTGCCCCCTGGGCTGAGTGTCTATCATTTATCTGTGGTCACGGGGACGGGAAGCACAGCATGCATTTCCACATCACTCCCCCAAGGAACTAAATGTCAGTTTCCAAACTAACCTAGCAGGAGGGGCCGGGGCCAAGCAGGGCCCGCTTTGCAGCACACGGGCGCCATGGGTGGGCACCCGTGCCTTGCTCCTGACCCACCCCCTTCCCTTGTCCTGTTGGGACGCCAGGAGCCTCGTTGCCTGTAGCACAGAGCAGGACGAGCAGCCTGAGCCTCAGGTCTCCCCGAGTACTGGCACAGTCTGCACAGGGCTGCTAGCAGCGCAGGACCAAGGCCATGGCGGTTCTTTCCCTCCTCATACTCTGGGCATATTCCTGCATTATTTATTCAGACATCCTCTTCACCTGTTTGTCCTACCTGCTTGGTGGGACTCAGCTGACCCACATACTGGAACAGGCGTTCATGACCTTTGTGCCCGGCCTTGTGCCCTGGCTCTGACAGACTGCAGTCAGCGCAGGAGTCGGCCAGCTGCCCGAGAACTCGGGATCCAGAAACAAGTAGATGAGGCTCGGCTACAAGCCAGGGGGTGATCCTCTCATTAGTGGGGTGGGCCTGGTGTCTGCCAATGTGTGCGTCCAGGCAGCATCCGAAGCCTCCCAGCACAGCCCCCCGGAAAGGTGAGGCTGGACAGCAGTGGCCAGGTGAGGGCTGTCTGTGGGCAGTGCCAACCCAGGAGGAGCCAAGCCCCTGGCTGCAGGGACGATGATGGGGAGGGGCAGGCTGGTACACAGGGCAGTACCAGGCAGGCCAGCACGCCCCCACCTGCTGTTCTTGTTCTGGGAATATGTGCTGCCCGCCCCCCCGCCAAAGCCTTGCACACTCTGCCGAGCCAGTCATTAACTTAGGAGAACTTGAGTTCTGCCCATCTTGTGACTCCAGAAAGCCACGTCCACTCAGAGGCTCCAGCGTCCTGGCCTCATGCGGCCTGCACTGCAGTGTTCCACCCGAAACAAGCAAAAACAGCTGCACAGCACGGAGTCTCCGAGAACCAACGGCGCCAGGCCACTCCTGTCTGTGAGCGAGGACAGCTGCCCACTGCTGCCCACCGCTCCCCAGGGGACCTTCTTTGGAAATGGCTCTGGGTCTGCAGCGCATCTTGGAATCGCCCCGTCAGCGGGCTCCCGCTCTCAGGTAACGCCCGAGTTCACAGCACTTGGTAATATTATACACACCCCAGTTACAGGGAAGCCAGTGTGCCTGGCAGGTGCTGCTGGCCCCGGTCCACCTAGCTCCGACCCCTGCAAGGCCACTTGGATACAAGCAAGGAGCTCAAACAAAAGTTAAATTTTCACTGTAAGAATCTGAAAATACGGGGAAGCACCTGGCAAAGACAGCTCTGCTTTGTTACTTTCCTTACAGACTCGGAGTCAGCATGACCAAATCCCCACTAGCATTCACCAATGCTAGCGCTGTCTGAGGAGCCAGGGTGTCCAGCTGCAGCCCCCGCTTGGTCAGGAGGCCACCGCGGGCGGCAGCTTGCTGGGGGACACACAGCTGCTCCCTGTGCTTTGCTGCAGTGCAAGGATGAAGTAAACAGGAACGCCCAGGCGTCTGCTGCCAGCACTCTGCCTTCCACCAGGACAGAGGCTACACCTGCGCCTCGGGCGACCTCGGACACGGCTCAGGCCCCTCTCTGCCACCTGGCACTGGAAGCTTCGTGCCTTGGACCCTTCAATCCAGAGAAATGCACAGACCTGCAGGACAGCAGCCCAGGGCCCACTTCCAGCCCCACGGCCATGGAGCTCCTCCGACGGTGTTAGGTAACCAGCTCCGTAACAGCAACAGCGCAGGAGGGAGGGCCCGCTGTGAACTTCCTGTTCCAGATTTATAGAACGCCAATTACATACTTAAAACTCCGATGAAGGCCTGTAACACTCACTGGAGGGCCGGCTCCTCTCCTGGGGAGGGCTCAAGTGGCTCCTCCTCTGCCGCCCTTGTGGGAGACCCGAGAGGGGCTCCTGGCGCTGCAATAGCCAGAGCCTCTTCCAGGTCTCCCACGCGGGTGCAGGTCCCAAGGCTTCGGGCCGTCCTCCACTGCTTTCCCAGGCCACAGGCAGGGAAGTGGAGCGGCTGGGACATGTATGATCCTGGTAGATATAAGACAAGGACTTTAACCACTAGATTACCATGTCAGGCTGAGATCTTGGTCTTTTAAAAAATATTGAGCAAAGCAACTTAGCAATAATCAGTTATAATTGATCTATTATAAAAGCATCTAGAAAACATTTATTCAGATATATTTTATGCCCTTTAAAAACATTTATGCTAATTAATGCATAAATATAATTTCATAATATCAAAACAATTATAAGCTCAGACTCCTTAAATAAAATGTATAGTATAGCTTTCATTGCCAGAGATGAGGTTCCACATTTAGCTGCACAGTCTGATGAAGCTAATGTCCGCCCTCGGTCCTCCGAGCTGCCCGCGAGGTTCTGCACACAAGCCGCAGGAGTGGGGCGGGCTCCCCCATGCCTGCAGCAGGGTGGGGGTCCCGGGCCTAAGTCAGCCTCGGTGTGGGGAACATCCGCACAGCAGCCAACCACAGGAGCCTGCTGGCATACGGTCTCTGTAACCATTCATGCCACAGGACTCTGTTCTAAATGAAAGGTCGCTCGTAAGTCATTTTCTCTTGTATGAAACCAATGTAAATATAAAAAGATGCTATGTACTGAAGCCAGCACTAAGCGAGTGCTTCAGACAGAAGCCAGCAAAACTCATCGATGGCCTTGCCCCAAGGCCACCCATCTATCAAACCTCATTACCTTTAGAAGAAAATATTTTGGGAAATAACCTTTACTGGTAACTACTAAGTGATTTATTTAACATGCACTGAAATAACCCCAAAAAGCAGGCCACTGCTCCAACCATGACCTAGGTAAGCACTCCCGGGTTAGCCGAGGCACAGCGTCAACGTGCACTCGGCCCCATCAGACCAGCTGACCAGAGACCGCCTCCCACACACGGACAAAACGCAGACACAGGAAGCCAGGCTAGCAGTGGGCACTGTTCATGAATTAAAGCCATCTTAGTTCAGACAAGGACATGATGGTTTACTTGCCTGTGGGAAATAGACTCCTTCCTGCTCTGCCGCATGACAGAGAACTCTGTTCCCTGTGACCACTGTAACGATGCCAACACCAGCAGCAATCCATAAATAAAGCTATTTCCACCTTCCCCTCCATCGTCAGGGAGGCAGGGCAAGCACACGGAAGCCTCCAGCCTGTGGGCCACTGCCGACACCTCCCTGACTGGGAGCGCACCAAGTTTCTGGAAATTCACTGGAAACGGGAATAAACGGGGACACAAGTTTGCCAGGAACTTGGACAAGCTCCCTCCTGCTTCCTGCACGCACATGAAGGGGCCCTGATGGGCGCGCGCACGGACTGTGACGATGCCCCGAGTTATCTAGAAATAAACTAAGTGCCCAATTCAAAACCCCCCACATCCCCTGCAGTGTCCATTGATGGAGACACAGAACTAAGAAATCCCTTACAATCTCTGCAAGTCATTACGATGGAGACACGGAGGCCCCTGGGCCAACCTGCAATGCCCTGGTAGCTCCACACTCCAGGACCCACTGCAGTGCTGACCAGAGGGCTCCATGAGGCCACACGATGCCCAGGCTCCAGTGTCCCTGGCCATGTCACCCGGCCCACAGGGCTGGTCAGCGTGGGCTCTCCAGTGCGTATTCGATGTTTTCGTACTGTTGTCCTCACGCATGTTTGTAACACACCTCAAATGCTTTAAAAATATACCCATAAAATTACTATGCATATATCAAAACTAAACTGTTTTAATCAAACCTGTGGTTATTTTCACATCTTGTTTTGATCTTCCGGAAAGGTGAAGCAGTGCAGGTGGATCAGCGCAGGGGCCAGGCCACGGCCGAGTCGGGCACTCGCACAAAGCGACCAGGCTCACCGGTGCCACAGCCTCCGCGGCGGAGGGGGGACTCCTGTGCTGCCCTGCTCCCCGCCCGCAGGGACCCCGTGCCGTCCTGTGCCGTCCCTCCAGGGTTGGCTCAGAGCTGCAACTGCCCGGGGCGAGGTCCTGTTCCTCTCCATCCCTACACGTGGTCGGCCAGCCAGCCAAGCTACAAATACCTGACAAAGTCACAGGGCCCTCGCTTAGATGGCTGCTGAGGAATAAAATAAAACCTTTTTGCTACCTCCAAAAACTCTCCAAGGTTTCTCCAGGCCGCGCAGAGGGCAAAGCCGCGTGGGTCGTGGGGCAGTGCGGGCGAGCCTCAGGGGCTCTGCAGGGCTTTCCGCAGGTCTCCGTAGAAGTTGGCGAGCGTGCTGGCCATGGCGGTGTCCACCGCGGACTGAGGGATCCTCCCACGCAGGTCTGTCTGGATGTAGCCCGTCAGGAGACTCTGGTGTGGACTGTCCTTGAGCGGAACACAGAACCAGCCGCACGGATGATTATACCCACGAACAAATTCCGGTCTCTTTTCACTCCAGTCAAGACTTACCCCTGCAAGGCATTAATGAAAACCACAAGCCACAGTTAGTAACAAGGATGGGCACTTTCAAACTTTCCTCAAACTGTACTGCCAGATACCAGAATTCCTGCTTTTTCCTTATTCACATGGAGAAAAATTAAAAGTGACCAAGGCAGAATAAACATTGATTACCCAGAAGAATGCTGATAGGAAAAGGGGAGCGCAGTGACATTCCGTCACCGGGCACCCACGTGGAAGCTACGGATCTGCACTGCAGTGGCCCACCTGTGACCTCGGGAATGCCACGTCACACACCTGAGCCCCTCCTGACATCCTGCAGCTGCTAGGGTCGCGGTAACTACGAGGATCTCGCGGGAAGAGACCATTACCACAGGACAGAAGTCCTTCCTCGTGGCCCACGGTGTAGGAGAAGTCAACAAACTCCCTGGGGGCGATGATGTTCCAGAGCTGGCCAGCGGTGGTGTAGCGCATCACACAGCAGCTCTGCAATGGAACGCACGGGTCAGCCTGAGGGGCAGAGCAGCACCGCTTGCAATCCTGCATCCTTCAGGGTGTGAAGGACACCGCTCCTGCCTGCGCCGTGCCGTCACCGTCCGAGAATACCCCCCCAGGGACTCAGGAGCCAGAGTGCCCCAGAGTCCAACATCCGCCCGAAGCCTTGGGACCCTGCACCCGTGTGGGAGACTCAGAAGAGGTTCTGGGCTCCTGGTTTCGCATCAGCTCAGCTCCAGCTGTTGCGGCCACTCCGGGAGTGAACCAGGGTGGAGGACCTTTCTCTCCATCTCTCCTCCTCTCTGTATATCTGACTTTCCAATAAAAATAAATAGATCTTTAAAAAATGGCAAAAATTACTTAAAAACAGAAAAAGAACAAGTCATTTTGGCTAGCCAATGCCTTTTTTAAAGGATGTATATACACACATGTATTTCTACATATGTAATTTCTTATTTAAAATGGAGGGAAGGAGTGGCACAGATCCTCCGTCTGCAGATGCATTTCCCAGATGGGGACAGCCAGGGTCCGCCAGGCCGCAGCCGGTCCCCCACAGGATGGCCAGAGCCCCAGCGCTGGGACCTTCTAACGTTGCTAGGCCAGGCCATCCCCCGGCACCTGGATCTGAAGAGGAGCTGCCAAGACTCAGCTCGCACCCCAGCGGAGCTGGCATCCAGGCAGCAGCTTGAGCCTGCGGTCCGCTGCACCTACCGGACTCTCCCCAGCTGACGGTGGCAGGGCAGTCATGGAAACTGCACATTATGTCTAAGTGCAGTGAGGATGTCCTCCAGATTTTACATTTCAGAACTTCAGCCACAGTTTTACAATTAAACTAAACTTTCTTGAGCCTGGCACGATGGCTCAGTGGCTAAATCCTTGTCTTATGCACCAGCATCCTATATGGGTGTCCCAGCTGCTCCACTTCCCATCCAGCTCCCCGCCTGTGGCCTGGGAGAGCAGTGGAGGATGGCCCAAAGCCTTGGGACCCTGCACCCACATGGGAGACCTGGAGGAGGTTCTGGCTTCAGATCGGCACAGCTCCAGCTGTTGCAGCCACTTGGGGAGAACCAACAGAAGGAAGACCTTGCTTTGCGTCTCTCCTTCTCTCTAAATCTGCCTTTACATTATAATTAAACTTTGCTGAGCAGCAAAGACAGAGCTGCTATAGCAGACGGTCTCTGTCGCCACTCACCAACAGACACGAGGACGCTCGGGCCGGCCAGACAGCTGGTCCCCCACCCCCCACCCCCCACCGCCCACGCTCACACACACACTCTTGCCCAGGCAGTCTGGAGCCATGTTTATCAACAGCTACCTCTTCAAAGTGCTTCAAAATGTCCAGGGATGTCATTAAACTGTCCCAGTCCAAGCGACAGGGCCCCGGGCGGATGTGGTCCACAATGGCATTAACGGTGTCATCTATAACGCCTTGGGCTTTGTAGCTGGAGAAAGAAAAACAGAGTCCAATGTGGGCAAAGTGGAACTTGGTGCCTGTAGCCCCGCGCTGGTGAGGACAGAGTGCAAGCAGGACTGGAACTCGGCTCAGTCTTAGCCCCGTGCTGGTGAGGATGGGAGCAGATATGGTCGACTTTTAAAGGGATTAAATCCCAATGACTGTTTCCCAAGTGTTCATCTAAGTACTTGTCACGCCCCAGTGTGGCACCCGGCGGCCACCCAGCACAGAGCAGGGTGGCACCCGGCAGCCAGCAAGCACAGAGCAGGGTGGCACCCGGCGGCCAGCAAGCACAGAGCAGGGTGGCACCCGGTGGCCAGCCCGGGGGTCTTCAGTGAGCTTCAAGCTCATCAGGATATGCACACTCTTACCCTTTAAAAAACCTTGGATCATGAACAACAAAAAAAATAAGCCAATGGAGAACACCAAATAGTTGATTCATCAGACCTCCACACAGATCCAGACGGGAGAGGAAAGCACGCTTGCCTGGAAGGCGTGGCGAGCGCGGCTGGCGCCTCACCCACAGCATGGCAAGCACGAGGGCCAGACCACCTGCCTCTGTGTGAACTGTAAAACTTCAAAACCAAAAACACACGGGACTATTTTGTGATTCGGCAGATAAGATTTCTTCAATCTAAAAAATTCACAAAACCACAACTAAGATACAATACTGGTTAAGACCAGCACATAGGTAGAGCTGTCAGAGGACCAGGAGCGGCCCGCGCGTGCAGAGCTCCAGGCGGGCAGGGCGCACTGACAGGTGTGGTGATCACGTGCCAGACGTGCCACCTCACGCCCAGCCACCGAGTGCCAACGCGCATCTTTGTAAGCTGCCTCCGAGCAGCAGGAGGGGACGTGTGCCACCAAGAAGTCAACTGCTGCTTCAGGAACTTGGGAAGCCAAGTCAAGCCGGATGGCAGGAGAGCCTGCAGACAGGAACGCTGCTCTCTGACCGTCGTACCCGGTGTCCTGGAGTGCTGAGCACACTGCGCTCTGGGTCCGCGTGCTCATCGCCAGCAGACCCCCAGAGGCTCCAGAGAAGTCCTCTATGCCAAGGCTGCCTGGCTTGGTGTTCTGCCTCATCTCCTGTACACTATACTCAGAACACATTTCATAATTTAGTCACTCTGTTTGTTCAAGATGTGCATAATTTTATTATTTGAAATAATGCTGTGGTGAAACAGCAAGTACTCAAGTCCCTAGGGACTTTCTGGCCATTTCTTTAAGATTGGAAATGCAGTGTCCTGCAGGGTTCCAGCGGGGCCATGCACACTGCTGGGGACCAGGGACCAGCAGGGCCTCGATGGCCTGTGACCCCACAGCAGCGCATGCGGACAAGAACCTGGAAGGCAGCGGGGAGTTCTGTAAAGGCCAATGTGCTGTTCAAAAACCCTGTGATTCTAAGAGCAAACTGTCAGCACTTGTACTTTCTACTGACATTTAGCAACATCTTAAGATTAAACTAACGGACATACTTACAGGTATCCATTAAATTCCTCTGAGGGCTTTCTCCAAACTGTTACATCTTTCTAGAAAAATAAAAATATATGGTGGTTATTATATAGGTGGAACAGAGAAACAAACACAATTTTATGAGTCCAGAGCTTCTATCTTTGAATTAAACTAACAAAATTCCAGACACAAAGAATTCATCTATGCTCTGTGCCAGCCTTGCTGTATTTCAAAGTTCTTCACACTCAGACTCGAGAACAAGCCTCAGAGGGGCTGCACAGCGCTGAGGCAGGCCGAGCTCCACCTGTAGCTCCCTGGAGGTGCACTAACCCGCATCTTGCCTGCTCCACTCGGTGGCCTGGAGAAGCGCGGAGGACAGCCCACGCACCCACGTGGGAGACTCAGAGGCAGCTCCTGGTTCCCAGCCTTGGCTCTTGGTGCCATGTGGGGAGTGAACCAGCAGATGGAAGACTTCTGTGCCTCTCCTCTCTACATAAGTTCTATGTTCCAAATAAAAGCAAGAAAATCTTAAGAAAACTTGAGTGCGAGTCCTACCTTACCAGGCTCTGCGACCTGCCTCAGTCCAGGCTCCTGCTCACCACTGCACACACTCTAACAGCTCACTCAGAAGTTATAAGTTATTGCTGGGTCCGTGTGATGAGTGTGGAGGACAGGCAGGTGTGAAGAGTATTGTTCCATTGGAATTTCCCGCTGCATGGCAGGGCCTGGCGGATGTCTCTGCTGTCTCTACGACCACCTGAATGGAGCTCCGCCTCCCTCTGCGTGGACACCGGACAACCCCGCTGAGAATTCTGTAGTCTACTTTGGCATTGTCTGCCTCTGCGGAGCTACTGTTTACTCCCGATGTGAGCTTGGAAGTTGATGTTGCTGACACCATTTTAGCCAAAGGGCCTTTCATTATTGCTGTCTCTGCCCCCACTGACCACATGCTAACCAAGGGTGTTCCGTCCCCAGGTGTAGTGGAATCTATTCTTTCCCTCTTTCTTTGATCTTTAGGTCCTTCCTCCTGTGATGCCTTTCCTCCCTTGACTGATTCTAGACTAAGCTGTAGAATGAGGATTGTAGCAGGAATGTGTTACTGATTGATATGCACCACCTATTGAGAACTTCCTGACCACAGGGTCAGGATGGATAACTTCCTACTTTAAGGTGAAACAAAGGGCAGAATTATCCTTAGAAACACCCACTTGACCATGACGTAAAAAGTCTGAGCCAGAGTTTGAGTGGTTCTGCATGAATAAAGCGGACAGCCTTCATGCATTGTCCACAATACAATGATCATGGAATTGTGGTGGTCCATCTCTCTGCGCCTCATCACGCACCCTTTGCGAGTTCCCAACTCAGCTGGAGCTGGACTCCAGCACGTTACGTTTCCAGAAGAGAAGCAGCTGACACCAGAATTCCCTTCATGTCTCCCAACGAACTCAGAGTGGAATGCCTTGAGCAGACATGCAGCGCTGGTGCAGAGGGGCCAAGTCCTGGTGCCCACCCCTGACGCCACCTCACTGGCACCACACAGGCTTGCTAACATCTGAAACCAAGCACAGCACTCCCGAGCTGGCAGAACACACCTGCGCACTGACTGAGGCCGCCGTCTGTCCTTGTTCCTCACACCTGAGCATGTGGTGCCAAGATGTCACCAACCCTCCCAGGGAAAGCTGGCTTCGAGCCAGCACTGCAGCCCACCTGGGCAGTGCCTGACGGAAGAGCCCATTTCTCTTTCCCTGTCTTTAATTCTCTCAATAATTCTGTTCACACTCTCCCGTTTCATTTGGAAAGCCATGGGCAACGCGAGACAGGATGTGTCCCCCGAGGAGCAAGGGGACTCCGCGTTACCGTTTTCTTCACAACCCGCCACGCGTCATCGTCAAGGCTGTGGTACCGGACCAGAGTGTTCTTAAGGCGAGTTGCAAAGGCAGTGGTGTCAGGCAGGCTTTCCATCCGTCCTTCCTGTCAGAAATCAAGATGAGCGTCAGCCGCCGCAGGGGAGCAGCCGACCAGGGCTCCCGCCAGGGGTGGGGACAGGGGCAACCCGGACTGTGGGAGCTCAGCTCCCCAGCAACGTCCTGCAAACATGAAAGGGCAGCGGGCTCTCTGCTCACTATCCACGCCGTCACCTAGCGCGCTCCAGACGCAGCATCACCATGCTCAGCCTGACTTAAAAGCTCAGGGTGCTCTCGGCAGGAAAGCCCGCCTCAGACCAGCCTCCCCTGGGGCCAGGGTGTTCTGATCCCACTGGGTGCATGCTGTCCCACGACAGGCCCGTCTTGTGACCGACTGGGTCTCCATCAGCTGTGTGTCTGGGCAGCTGGCTGAATTGCGAAGTCCTCAAGACGGGCGGGGTCAGGGGTCGGAAGGATCATGTTCCCAAGGGGCAGCCTGGGAGAATTCTGCAGTGGGCAATGACAGGACAGGCGTCACGGCTTCATGAACTATGCAACGGGCACACACAGGCGGCCAGCAGCAACTCCTCTAGCTGGTGCAGAAGGCCCCTCCTCCCGGGCACAGAGGGCAGAGCTTGGCTCTCCTATGACTGAGAGGCCGCAGAACTGACAGGGCGTGGGTGTGCGCTCCTGAGCACGCATCAGGACCCATTCCAGAAGTCACATTGCACAGCCCAGGCTGTCCTGGGTGTGACTCAGCTGGTTCATAAGCTAAAGAAGGACCACACCCCCACTGACCACAGAGCCCACCCTCCAGCGTCCACACCCCCACTGACCACACAGCTCACCCGCGAGGCTCACCCTGGGGCCCCTCTGGCCTAGTGCCACCCTGGAGCTGCCCCCGTGCACCTGGCACACACCTCTGCCTCAGGGGAGATAATCTGAAGTGTTTGCCCAAATGCATAAAAATCACAGAAGACAGGGCCGAGGCCGCAGACACGGAGGGGACACAGCGGCCACACCGCTGGGCGGCGGGCACACAGGAGGACAGGGAGGGGACACAGCAGCCACACCGCTGGGCGGCGGGCACACAGGAGGACACGGAGGGGACACAGCGGCCACACCGCTGGGCGGCGGGCACACAGCTGGCTGTGCGGGTGGCAAACCGCCAAAGAGGAAGTCAGAAGGATGAGTGTACACTCAGCCAAAAACAGAGAAGCAGTTTTAGGAAATAAAACCCATGACATAAACAAGAAATTCTACAGAGATGGACATATTGAAAAATCAAACCAAAATATTGGAAATGAAGAATAGTTCAAATGAAAAACGCAGTGGAAAGCCTGACCAACAGGCTGGGGAGGCGAAGGCCAATGCTGAGACAGAGAAGAGGTGAGGCAAGAGCAGAAACTCCTAGAGCGACCGGTTCACGGACATCGGACCACCCAGGCAGGGGCTCGGGACCACTGAGACCCCAAACAGGCGTGACCGGAAGGATCCTCATGACACGCGAGTCCAACTCTCAAACACAGCACACGGGGAGGCGGGGAGCCCCGCACCACCCGTGAAGGGCCCCGCAGAGCAGCCGACGTCTCAGAACCACACACCGGGACACAGCACCCTTACAAAGAAGGGAAAAAAAACCTTCCAAAACAAGGGAAACCAGGCAGAAGCTGCCAGCGCCTGGGCGGCCAGCGGAGCTCCGGGAGGCAGGCAGGCACGCAGCAAGGTCAGCGAGCACGGCGGGAGAGGCCGAGTCTCACTCAGCAATCCCATTACACGGAGCAAATTCTCCAGCTCAAAAAAGACGGAATGGATTAAACCACAGACCCACTTAAAGGCCGCCTACAAGAAATAAACCTCACTAAAAATACAAAACTGAAAGTGAAGGGGTGGGAACAGACATTCCATGCAAATGGAAATTAAAAAGCAAACAGGAGTAGCAATTCTCTTATCAAACATAATAGTCACAACTAGTGAGATAAGGTCACTATATAACAATTAAAGGACCAAATCAATCAGTGATTATATAACTAAAGGACAATTCAATCAAAGTGATTACAGCAAACATATTCACCAGGGTTTAGCTACGCAACCACTTAAAGCAACTGAGCAGATGGAACATGAAGCCAAGGGAGGAACAGGAACCCAGGAACATCCTCACCACCCACAGAAAGCACCCATTTCTCTAGAAATTTCACCTCATGGGCACAAAACATATTGTTTCCATCAGTGCAAGGAATACTCCTCTAGGATAGACCATTTACTAGACCAGAAAGCAACAAATTCAAACAGCTAAAGGCACATTGTGTCCCTTTTCTAACCACAAGGAAATGACATTAGAAATGAACGGGGCCAGACCTGAGGGCCCAGCGCGGTGGCTTAGTGGCTGAAGTCCTCGCTGTGAATGCACCAGGCTCCCAATTGGGCCCGGGTTCTAATCCCAGCAGCCCTGGTTCCCACCCAGCTCCCTGCCTGTGGCCTGGGAAAGCAGTGGAGGCTGACCCAGAGCCTTGGGACCCTGCACCCACATGGGAGACCCAGAAGAGTCTCCTGGCTCCTGGCTTCAGATTGGCTCAGATCCAACCATTGTGGCCATTTGGAGAGTGAACCAATGGATAGAAGATCTTTCTGTCTCTTCTTCTCTGTAAATCTGCCTTTCCAATACAAGTAAATCTTAAAAAAAAAAAAAAAAAAAAAGAGGCAAGTTTGGGGCCAGAGCAGCAAGGCTCGTCTTCTGCCTGAGGTGCTGGCAGTCCACATGGATGCCAGTTCAAGTCCTGACTGCTCCACTTCAAACCCAAATCCAACTCCCCGATGATGGCCTGAGAAAGAGGCAAAGCAGGGGACAAGTCCTTGGGCCCCAGCACCCACAGGGACCCTGTAACAAACTCCTGGGTTTGCACCTGTCCCGCTCTGGCCACCGTGGCCATTTGAGGAGTCAACCAGCAGACGGAAGCTCTCCGTCTCCCTTCCTCTCTTAACTCTGATTTTCAAATAAAAATACATTAAAAAAAAGAAAAGTTGATAGCAATCAGTGTCTACACCAAAAGACTGAAAAGATAACAAATATTCTAATGGTACCGCAAGGACCTAGAAAAACAGGAACCACTTCCAAAACAGCAGGAAAGAAATAATTAGAGAAAAAAAAATTTAAGCCATAATTTTTTGGAAAAAAAAAATTCAAAACTGATAAACCACTGACCCAACTAATCAAAAAGAGAAGATGCAAATGAACAGGACAAGAGGACAGGAGACACTGGGCCTGCCCCACACGCTCACCCCAGGAAGGACAGGTAGCCACAAGCCAACACGAAGGAAAGCCAGGAAGAACGGGCCAATTTCTGCACTCATGCCCCTGAACAAAGCTGAGGCACGAGGCCCTAAAAGCCGACCCGACATAACCCAGGCCGAGACCGAGTCATGAAAGGCCCCCAGCCACGGGACCCCAGCCCTGGGCACCTCTCTGCTGGCCCACCTGACTCAGGAGCGGATGAATCCCAACTCCGTAATTATTCAAAAAGGGGAGATGGGGGTCCTCCCAAACTCTTACCAGGAAGACTGGTGTTAGCTTAATCCCCAAACCAGAAACAATGAAAGCAAAGTAAGAAACTGACCCACAGTGCAACACTGCTCCCAAACACACAGGAAAACACTAAACAGCATGCCAGCAGATCTCAACGTCCCAAGGCCGCCCGGACCAAGTGGGAGCCTTCCAGGGGTACAGGAATCAACAGGACACATCGCCCCGAGTAGGACGCATAGAAGGCATCTGATACGAAATCTGAAGTTCTGGATACTGAAGAACATTTATCAACACACAGCGAGAACATGCCCACAGCCTGCCCCACACAGAATGGGTGCAAGCCGAAGCGCCCCATAAGCTGTGTGCCTTTCCACACCACTGAGCCACCTGCTCTGAGGCGCTGTGACGCAGCAGGAAGAGTACGCCCTAGCCCGCAGGACCGAAGCCTCAGTCCTCTAACAGCAATCTACAACGTGAGGAACCAATCACATACCAGGACATTCTCCTCAGACCTTGAACACGGGAAATCAAAATTCCAGAGGGAAACGCAAGACGCCCAATTCCAGTGCCAGAGTTCAAGTCACCTACTGTGCTAACACACACGGGCACATCAGTGGGACCGAGCAGACACCCCAAATGCCAGCCAACACACGCCCAACACAGGCCCCGCCAACACAGCCCCTTCCAACACAGCCGCGCCAACACAGCCCCACCAACACAGCCGCGCCAACACAGCCCCACCAACACAGCCGCGCCAACACAGGCCCCACCAACACAGCCCCGCCAACACAGCCGCGCCAACACAGGCCCCTCCAACACAGCCCCGCCAACACAGGCCCATCCAACACAGCCCTGCCAACTGGCTCTAAAGCACCAGCATCAAGCATGGGGAAGAGCAGCCTCTAGGACAGACAGTGCTGGGTCTGCAGGTACCCCAACCTGACACCTCACACAGCACCCAACACACACACAGGGTCTGCAGGTACCCCAACCTGACACCTCACACAGCACCCAACACACACACAGGGTCTGCAGGTACCCCAACCTGACACCTCACACAGCACCCAACACACACACAGGGTCTGCAGGTACCCCAACCTGACACCTCACACAGCACCCAGCACTTACAGGTCAAGCAGCTAAACACACCCTTGACACCGTCAACTGACTGGAGGAAAACACTGTGGAACTGTGAAGCACAGGTGTAGGTCACCCAGGACGGGTGAGTAATCAGAAGCACACTAGCAGGACTCCATCAAGCGCAGGATTTTCTGCACTGCAAAGGAACCTTCAACAAAGAGCAGGAGAGAGCTGCAAACTCCGCAACGGAAGGATCTATAGAGTTCCAGAAGCTCAACAGAACAGCCCAGTAAGGAAGCAGGCAGAGGACAGGAACAGGAGGTTTTCAAAGGATGGAATCAAAACGGCCAACAGGCCTGACCGGCTACTCAGAACCACTAGCCATCAGGAAAGCCCAAACAAAAGCCACAATGAGGTTTCCTTCCCCTCAACCCAGTTAGGGTGGCTTCCATCCAAAGCCAAGAAACAATAAACCCTGCAAAGGATTGGGAAATGCAACTTTAACCTCTGTGCGAAGTGTAAACTAGCGCAAGCATTGCCAAGGACAGACGTGGTGCAGCCTGCGGCCCGGCGACCCCACGCCTGGGAACTGACCCGAAGCAGATGACATCAGGCAAGCAGTGTCCGCAGCCCAGCTTTCAGCGGCCCGGTTCACAAGGCCCAGGCCTGCCAGCGGGTGCCGAGAAAGCAAAGGCAGCGCACACACAGTTCTGCCCAAAAGCCAGCACCTGCCTTCCACAGCCAAATGGACGCAGCTGCAAACCGTCGTGCTTAGTGAAGTAAGCCAGTCTCCAAAACTCAAAACACGTTTTCCCTGATCTGAGGAAACCAGTACCAAAAAAAGGTATACATGACTGACACTCTGAGATGTGATCCAGCTTTATACTCTGGAGGACGGTCGGTTTGCCCCACCTGCTTGTAAAACTCGTTACCTAAGGGGGCGTTAAGCCTGTGATTGTAAGTGCAGTGAGAATTCGCCATTGGGAAACTTACAGCAAGGGTCCCTACTAAACTGTGTCCTATCCACCTCAGCTCTCATTTAGCGCAGCTTTAAGCCTTGGACTGTAAGGTCAATTTTTTTTAATGTTATAAAATTTTAAAAGGCCGAGGGGAGAAACATTATATTAGAATTGCATCTATAAACTACAAATATCTGTTTTTGCTACGTTAAATTTTTAAACCTCTCTTGGGACTGAATTAAATTTCAGGCCTTAATTCTTCACGGCCGTGAGGCTGCGCTGTCAGCTGAAGACGGTCCCGGGCGGGCAGGAGCCTGGCCACAGCGCTCCAGGGCAGCCGGGCACTTCCTGGGCATCCCGCGGTCCAGCCAGCGCTGGGAGCGGACAACAATTAAACCAAGGCTGTTTCCAGCACTGAAACAGCACAGCGTGGCGCACCCGCCAGCCAAACACGGCACGTGCCCAGAGGGGCCACGGGAGCGCCGAGGCTGCGGTGACGCAGCTCCTCCCCACGGAGGACCGGCCGGCGCAGCGCTGACCACGGGGAAGCACGCAGAGGGCACTCGGAAGGAACGTGCTGGAAACCCAGCGGTGCCAGGAGGTGCGTGTGCCAGGCACGTGGAGCATATGCCAACCTCCCGTGCAGACCCAGTTCAGGCAAGCTCAGAGCTGCGGGAGCCGGGCCCCCCTGCCCGGGGAGGGTCCGCTCCAGGCCCACCGGGACCCTCCAGGCCCACCGGGACCCTCCAGGCCCACCGGGATCCTCCAGGCCCACCGGGACCCTCCAGGCCCACCGGGACCCTCCAGGCCCACCGGGATCCTCCAGGACCACCGGGACCCTCCAGGACCACCGGGACCCTCCAGGACCACCGGGACCCTCCAGGACCACCGGGACCCCAGGACCACCGGGACCCTCCAGGCCCACCGGGACCCTCCAGGACCACCGGGACCCTCCAGGACCTGGGCCCCCGGAGGTGGGTTCCCTCCCAGCAGCTCAGGCAGGTTTAAAGGGAGAAGCAAGAACAGGAATCCCCCGGGGAACCGCAGCCACCTTCCAAGCAGGCCGCCGCCCAGGCCCGCGGGGCGCGCACCAGCAGAGGCGGGGGTCAACTCGGCCCCCGCGCCGGACCCGGGGCCCCCAAAACCAGCCAGCCCCCCGCGCCAGCCAGAGCGGTTTCCCCACTGCTAACTCCTGCTTCCTGCGCCCGGCTGCCACCCCGGCTGAGGCGCCCACGCGGGCACCGCGCTGCCCAGGCCTCTTCCCACCGGCCCCGCTGGACGCAACCACGGCGCAGCCCCGCTCGGCGTTCCCGGGCCCACAACACCTTCTCGGGCAAGGCAACACGGCGGGCCACCGGCGGGAGCGCCCCCGGGCGTGCGGGCGCACCGGGCGGCCCCGGGCACGCGGCTCCCTCGTCCCCGAGCCCCGCACGCTGCCCGCCCGGCCCACCCACAGGCCCCCGCCGGCGGACGGCCAGGCCTCCCGCCGCCGCTGCCCACCTGAGGCGGAGAGGGAGCGGGAAGCTGCTGCTACAGCCGCGTCAACACCCGGCCGCGTCGCAGCTGCCCCGGGCACCGCCGGCTCGGTTCCCCGCCCGCCGCCCCGCAGCCAATGGGCGCCCACCCCTTCCGCCGCGGCCAATGAGAAGGCGGCAAGCGCCCCGGGGCGGGGCGGGCCCAGCGCCTGCCCCGCCCCCGCCGACGGCGCGTCGGAGGACCGGGCGGGGCGAGGTTGGCCGAGCCACGTGTGTCTGCTGCGATTGGCTGGCCCGGCAGCGTGCGGCGCGCTGATTGGCCGCCGGGAAATGGCGCGACCCGGCGCGTGAGAGGTCGGGGGAGCCGGCCGCGGGCGCTGAGGGCGTAGGGAGGACGGGGCCGGTGCCCGTGACAGGGGCGGGCGAGGCGGGGCCGGGGGCGGAGGGTCCTGGGCCGGTGCCCGTGACGGGGGCGGAGAGGGCGGAGGGTCCTGGGCCGGTGCCCGTGACGGGGGCGGAGTGCCCCACGCCCGCGCTGCTCCCGGGATGGCCCTCGGAGGCGCCGGGCGGGACGCCGTGTCCGTTCCCTGCGACTTGGGGGTTTCTCAGGATCCGGGAGAAGCCGCCCCCTGCCACACTTGTGAGAGAGCGGCGGCACGGGGACTCGGGTGTGCGGTGTCTCAGCTGAGCTCATGCATTTACCAGCAACACGCTCGGCCCTCTCCCCCAGACTATTGTAGCTAGAGGAATGTCTCACAAGGTGTGGGAGGCTGGCCGTTGGGTGGTGGCTAGCCACCCACTGAGGCGCCCCATTTCCTGGGTGCTCAAGGCATCCAGCTGCTGCTTCCGCCACGCAGGGAGATGGGTGCTGGGCGCCGGCCTCCAGCCGCCAGCAGGGCTGTGCTGTGCACTGGCCGGGAACCAGCCCTGCGCGATGACCGTTTGTCTCAAATAAACAACCCTTTACATGTGCAGGAATATCTTATTCTAGAAGCTTGCAATTCAGAAGTGTGAGCCACAGGCCAGGCATTCTGGCGTCACCTGGGCGCTAGTCCCCGAAGTGCTAACCGAGAGCCCGCAGGAGAGCCCTGGGTGATCCGCATGCACGTGGTCTTGGGGAACACTCGCAGAACAAGGTGGAAAGCGGAACCTAACAGCCGCCAGCGCGTGACTGCAGCTGCGCCAGCCTGCACACCTCGAGCCCTTCCCCGAGGGAGCTGTGGTTCAAACAATAAAACGTCAACCAAGGAAGAGTTAAACAAAAACAGGGAAACGTGGAAAGCAAGAAAAAAACTAGTTTTGAAAAATACATGGCATGGGTTTGGTAGGCAGGGGTGAATCAGCATAGTAAAATGTCCAGCAAGGAAGCGGCAAGGAGAATAGTCCAGCCAGACTGGCTAAGGGGAAGGACTTGTAAGTTAAAATGAAGCGCCTTTGCTAATTTGAAACTTCAATCTTGGTGCAATGAGCGTGGCCCCGGGGAAATGTGATCATTAAACAAAAACTTTGAGAATATTGTGAAAACACTGCCACTCAGACCAGAGGGTTGCACAAAAGGAATGTTCAATTCCTGAAGAAATGGGTCATTCTCATGCTGTTTAAACTGATTATAAACCTTAGGGTTTTGTTTACAAAGGGATTTGACCAAGACGCAGCCACTAACAGTCCAACAAAGCCCGGAGCAGGGCACGGCGGGAGCGCGGAGCGATGCATTATGGGTAGCTCTGGGTGAGGCCACGTGGGGTTCCAAGAAGACCCGGGAGAAGCAGCCACACTGAACATCGGCCACTGAGTTGTCACAAATCACCTGGATGTCGGCGAGCAGAGAAACAAGGAGGGAAGGAAAGGAGAGTGACCGGCTGGGGCAGCCGCACTGTCTTGCGTGAGTCCAGCGCTCAGAAAAGCCAGTTCTGGGGTCTGTAAGCTTGCCAGAGGGGGTGCAGGGTCACATGACCTGCTGCAAAGCAGTTAATAATCAAGTCAGTGGGGGGAGCTGTGAGTCCTAGGTGCTCTCTCTTACACACACACACACCCCTGTGTTACGTAACTCAGTAAGTGACAACACTCTGACCTTAGACTTCGGCCCCTCAACCACCCCAGGCTTGGGGAGGCAGCGCGTGCTGTGTGCTCTTTGGGCTCTGGGTGTCCGGTTTCGCTCCTCCTCCCCCTGGATCCACTTCTACACCCCACCCCTCTCGATCTTCAGCTGTGTCATTATGTCCCCAAGGGCCCAGGCTGGGAGAGAGCTCAGGGCTCTCCAAGGGGGTACACCCACATCCCTTTGTTCTGCAGGCTGTCTAGCCACCCCAGCCCCTGTCCTAGTTCCCATGCCCTCCCGTGGAAGGTGATGACCCACGAGGGAGGAGCCCACTATTTCCCTCCCAGGTCGCGCCCATTCACCACTGGGGGCCAGCCCTTTCCCATCTACTCCCTGCGGCTGGGAGGTGACGCGGCTGGAGGCAGACATCTGTCCCAGGGTCAGTTCCTGCTGCCCAGGGGCACTGTGCTGCTCTGGAGAACTGTGTCGTGGCCGCCGCTGTGCCCGCAGAAGTGGCATGGCCTCCTCCATATCTGTGCTCACACTTCAGGTCTGGATCTTTCTCCCTCAGGATCCTCTGGAATGTCATGGAATGTGTGTGGTATGAAAAGTTCGGAATAGATCTCCAGACTTTTGCACCAGGAAAGCACTCAGCTCTGCACACACTCTTTGCACACACACAGCTCTGCACACGCTCTGCACACACTCTGCACACACTCTGCACACACAGCTCTGCACACACTCTTTGCACACACACAGCTCTGCACACACTCTTTGCACACACACAGCTCTGCACACACTCTGCACATACAGCTCTGCACACACTCTTTGCACACACACAGCTCTGCACACACTCTTTGCACACACACAGCTCTGCACACACTCTTTGCACACACAGCTCTGCACACACTCTTTGCAGCACCCTTGCATGGAGATTCTGTGAGGGACCGTGTGAAGTGGCAAGGACCCTGCATCTTGCACCTGCGCAGTCTCCCTGCTTCCCATCACCTCCTTGTCACCTCCTAGGTGATGGCTGCCGCAGGTGCAGGAGGGGGCTGGGCTTATTTCAGACCCAACACATCACTCTGGCCTCAGCCGGAACCAGAAAGGGCCGCAGGAGGCAGACAGGTCAGAGAGCAGGGCTCCAGCCGGCCAGTGATGAGCGTAGGCCGACATTCTGTACCTCGTTAGGGCTCCCCAGAGTCGGTGCCAGCACCCACGTCAAGGGGTACAAAACCCTCACCTGCACCTTTCTGCCTGCCTTCTCCCTGCACCCCATCTCCTTCCTCAGACGCGGAGAAGGGAGCCCCAAGAGCAAATCTCAGTCTTTACATCTTTTTTTTTTTTTTAAACAACCAGCTGATGTTTTCTTCTCACGGGTGGTCGGCAAATCTAACAACAGGTGGCTAGCCTGAGCTGTGGTCCGGAAGGAGCCGCTTGCCGGGCACTGCTGAGCTGTGGGGCCCGCTCCGCTGGCAGGGTCCGTACAGCAGCTCCTGTCAAGGTCCAGCGTGGCTTCAGGAGCCTGCAGTTCTCCCACAGCTACAGGGACACTGCCCTGGCGGCCGGCTCGCTGTGCTGTGCGCTGGACCTTCAGGGAGTCACAGCCCTCCTCTGACTGCACCACAGCCCATCCCCCTCTGACCTAATTCGTTGATGAAAAGCTGTTCTCAGCACCTCAACTCTGACCAACAGGACACGGGGCACTGCCCATGACAATGGCTCTGCCTGGCAGGGATCCTGAAAGGAATATTTGGGGCATGTGCTGTTTGGCGGCTCCAGGTATGCCAGGGGAGGCTCCCTGGGAGTCAAGAACCCAGTGCTTCTCAGCCAGCCACGTCGCAGTGAGACTAAGAGGTCACACAGAGCCCACGGCCGAGGGGGAACTGCTGACCTCAGCACACACAAGACTGCTGTGAGTTCCCACTGCTAACTGTTAGGTTCCCAAGGGCGATCTTTACGAGGGGGCGACAGATCTGGCAGCCACTGGCCCACTGTCTGGGCCAAATGCTAATCCCATCACCCAGCAGAAAGTGGTTTATGAAGATGTTGCAGCCCCAGTGGGGTAGCCTCTCTGAGGTTCAGGTCAGATGTGGCCTCCCAGAGGCTGACTGACAAGGAAGGGTGTCCATCCCAGCCAGAGGCCATCGGATTGGCGGGCCCGAGGAACCGAGGTGTCCACTGCCAGGCAGGCACTCCCTGCACCCTGCCCAGGCAGCCTCTGTCCAAAGTGGTGTCTTAGTCTAGCCCTGCTGCTGCTCTGCCATCGAACACTGCTTGTGTATGGGGACTGGGCCTGGGGCCGTCCACAGGTAGCCAGCTCTGGACCCAAGACCCTGGCTTCTGAGCTGGAGGGGGCCTCTGGGGGACACCTTGACGTCAGGACCTGAAGCCTGTTCTCTGCTAGGAGCCCCGGGGTCCTGGGGACAGGACCAGCTATCCCTGGCAGAGACTAGATGCCCTCCAGTGGAGCTGTCGTCCTGCTCCCAGCCACCTGTGTTGTCAGCGCCACCCCCCCACCAGCTATGGCTCTGGCCATGCATCCGCGTCAGCAGTGTGGGGGTCCCTGGTGTGGAGGTGGGGTCGAGCTGGGCAGCTCCGTGGTGGAGACCATGATGCAGCTGAAGTGCCTGAAGACAACTGGGCTGCCATTGTGCCCGCGACTTCGCCCTCGGGCGCTGCTTGTGATGCCAAGCAGGCCAGACAGAGAGACAGGGCACCTGCTACTGGTCTGGAGTGGTGGGAGTGGCTCGGCCATTTGGCTCCTCCCCTGACTGTGACGCTGAAGAACTGGCCAAGGGCGTGTGGAGTGGACCTTCCAGAACTGCTCAGAAGAGGACAGGACACGAGAAGTCAGCTGTGCACTCAGATGTCCTGTGAATACATCATGCAAAGGGCAACACGTTTGAAGGCAATTTAATCCCGCCCAGCCATTCCAAGTGCCCGATGCCCGCTCCTCCTCTGAGAAAATGCTTCCCCTCCTGTCACCCAGCAGGAAGCTCTCGTCAGCTCCTGACGCTGGGAGGACAGGGCGTCACTGCCGAAGGTGGGCCTGCGCATGGGGGGTCGCTGTGCGTTCCCGCCCAGTCCGAGGCCGGTGTGGTGGCCTCCGGCGGCTCCCACCACAGTCCTGGGAGTGTCCCCCTGGGCTGTGGGACACAGATGTCCCTGCCTCCTCTCCTGCCCAGCCCCGGCCTGTCCTCTGCTGGCCCCTGGCTCATCCCTGCCTTCGGGAGGCGTGTCCGTCTGCGGACCTGGAGCCTACAGTGTGATGAAGGCCTCTCAGAGGCCTGCCCCGGATCAGCAAGTGACA